GGAAGGCGGTCCCGGTGGGTTGGCTTGACGCGCCTTCCTCCTGGCATTTCTCTCTTTCACCCTCCACTCGTGCCCCTTCGAATTCTGCAGCACTGCTGGTCACAGCTGACCTCCAGCTGGAGGCTCAAGGGCCAGGGCTTCCCAGTTCTCAGTGTCTATGCCAGAGATTTTAAGTTTGGCTTTGAGGCCATCTTTAAATCTCTTTTCCTGTCCACCAACGTTCCGTTTTCCGTTCTTAAGTCAATACTATTTGGCAGTGGAACTCTCTGCCCCGGAGGGAGTGTGGTGGAGGCTCCTTCTTTGGAAGCTTTTAAACAGAGGCTGGATGGCCATCTGTCAGGGGTGATTTGAATGCAATATTCCTGCTTCTTGGCAGAATGGGGTTGGACTGGATGATGGCCCAGGAGGTCTCTTCCCACTCTTTGATTCTAGGATTCTAAGTCAGAAGTCATCGCTATCTGCATAAACCGGGGGTTCTCAACTTGTGGGCCGCAGACCAGCACTGGGCCGCCAGAACCAGAATCCGGTCCACAAACTTCTTTTCTTCTATATTTTATTTTATTTTACTTCTGCAGAACTGACCTGCCCCGCCCTGGTCAAGTGGGCCCTGGTCATAGTAGGCCCTGATCCAAGTTGGCCCTGGTCAAGTGGGCCCTGGTCATAGTAGGCCCTGATCCAAGTTGGCCCTGGTCAAGTGGGCCCTGGTCATAGTAGGCCCTGATCCAAGTTGGCCCTGGTCAAGTGGGCGCTGGTAAAAAAAAAAAAAAGGTTGGGAACCACTGGCATAATATACTGTCTCAATGGGTTCACAGTTCTATACACAACACAACCTAGCCTTGTGGGTTTGTCCTTGTCAGCTGTGTTGAGCAAATGCCAAGCAAAAGGTTCTGTCAACCATTTCATGGGAAAGATTCTGAGCATGGAAGGGCTGAAACATTTTCCCACAGAGAGCAGCCGTCCCCACTCGGGCACCTCAGAGAACTGGCCCCGATCCCTGCTGGGAAGCAGGCCCGAGAACCAAAGGAGCACCTGCTGCGCACAGTCCGAAAGACCCCCAGAAGGCCAGACCCCATGCTTCGCTTTCTAAAATGATGGCGTCGGGGGATTCTGTGACCTGTTGCCAGTCTGTGATGACCCTAAGTCAGGCATGGGCAAACTTCCGCTCTCCCTTTGGGCGTTTTGGACTTCAACTCCCACAATTCCTGGCTCCGGGCCCCTTACTTTCCCCCCTCAGCACTTAAGCAGCTGAGAGGGAAAAGGAAAGGGCCTGAAGGAATGGTGGGAGTCGGAGTCCAAAACACCCTAAGGGCTGAAGTTTGACCCTGCCCGGTTTACATCCATGAGTGGCTATCCCTCTGAGGCTGAGAAAGTGTGACTTGCCCAAGATTCCCCAGTGGGTTTTCATGGCTGAGCAGGGATTCCAACCTTCTTCTCCAGAGTCATGAGTCCCACGCATGTGCTGGAAGAGGACGCATGATGTGGCACCAGCGCTCCATGGCAGAGCAGGTTGAAGCTCTTGTAAAACTACAACTCCCATGATCAGAAGACTACAAAGCCTAGGGTGGCACCCAAGGCGTGCTCATGCACTTGTCTCCTTCCCTTTTGCAGGATAATGACGAGGCCTTGGGAGAACACCTGAGAGAAGTGTGGGCCACCTGGACCCAGGGGAAGTGCCTCTGGTGGGTCAACACTAGAGGTCTTCTCTGAATAAAGGCCGCCTGCGTTTCCTTGCCATTCCGTTCCCCGTGTTTTTGTGAGCAGGGTTCAGGGTGGAAGCTGAGCCCATTCCTGTGCCTCTCAGCTCCATGATGGAGAAGCCGCGCCACATGGGCATCGTGGGGTCTCTCCACATTTACAGCCTTGACTTTTGTGGGTTTGATGATTGATGGGTTGGAATGAAATGTCCGCTCTAGGAGCCTGTAAGCCTTCCAGTTCAAAGCCATGGGCAACTTCATGCTGGAGGACTGAGGGATTCTTCCAGGGGGCAACTGGAATTGGATTCATGGGTCCTCTGGCACAATTTTGTGGCCAGCTTCTGCTGGAAGATGTGTCCTGAGACCCCTAGCGTCTTGTCTGGACAATGGAGAGAGAGGCAGGAGGACTGGGCTGCTTTGCCCGGGGTGGCTTTCCTTCCAGCCGAGGGCAGCAGCCCACAGAAGAGAGCGGCCAAGGCAAGACGCTGAGGG